ATTATATTGCTTTTGTTTTGGTATCATTACTGAGAATTCATTGTCAAATTAAAGGTCATTAAGAGTTACTCTTATTTTTTCTTCTATAATTTTTAGTTTTAGCTCCTGTATTTAGGTCCGTAATCAATTACACTTAATTTTCAATATAATGTGAGGAGTCCAGCTTCATTATTTTACATGTATCTATGCAATTGTCCCAAAGTGATTTTTTGAAAAATATTATTTTCTGATTGTATGATCCTGACACCATTGTAGAAATTCAATGGAATATATGTATGAGTTTATTTCTGCAGTCTCAATTCTATTCTATTGTTCTAAATGTTTATCTTTGTGCCAGTACCACACTATTTTGATTATTGTAGTTTTGTAATAAAATAGTCAAACATTTGGCAGATTCATCAAGACAAAAAGAAAAGTATAAAGAAATAATTTTATGAAATAAAAGGGGGAACATGTTGAGAAACACCATAAAGATTAAAAAGATTAAGGGACAGTGTTAACAATTTATGCCAATAAGATTGAAAGTTTAGAGGAAAGAGACAAATTCCTGGCAAAATATAAATTATCAAAACCTACTCAAGAAAAAAATAGAAATCTTATATAGTCACAAGGCATTAAATAGGTATTCAAATCTTCCTAGAGACCCAAATATATGCTTTCTGCCAGTAACTCACTGTAAATAAAAACAAAAAGATAATATATTATGCAAACACTAGTCAAAAGAAAGCTGGAATGACAATATAAACAAAAGTGGACTTCAGAAGAAGGAATATTATCAGGGAGAAAGATGGCACTTATTGGCAAATCACCCTCTGATAAAGACATAACAATACCAGAAGTAAAATTTGACAGAATTGCAAGGGGAAATTGACAAATCCACAATTATATTTGGGATTTCAATACTTTACTCTTAATAATTAATTAAAAATTAATTTGAGCTAAATAAATTCTCTAAAAAGTTAATAAGGATAGATCTGAACAACACTAGAATCAACTTGTCCTAATGTCCTATAACCAAAAGTAGTAGAATTCACAATTTTTGCAATTACACATGGAATGTTCACCAAAATAAACCATATCCTGATTTATAAAATAAACTAAGAGACTGGTTTCTCTCATTTAGCAATATGAATTTAAATTTCCCCATGTCTCTTCATGGATTTATACCTCATTTCCTTTTATTGCTGAATAATGTTTCATTTTGTGGATGGGACATAAAATGTTTATTTGTGTACCTATTGAGGGACACCTTGGTTGCTTCCAAGTTTTGGCCAATATTAATAAAGCTGTTACAAACATTCATTTGCAGGTTTTTGTGTTATCATGAATTTCTACTCATTTGGTTAAATACCTGGGAATATAATTGCTACACAGTATGGCAATCTTGTTTAGTTTTGTAGGAAACTGCAAAGTGTCTTCCAAAGTGGCTGTATCATTTTGCATTTCCACTAACAGTGAATGGGAGTACAGCATTTGGTGTGGTCAGTGTTCTAGATTTTGGCTATTTTATCAGGTACATAGTAGCATCTCATTGTTGTTTTAATTCGCAGTTCCCTAATAATATATGAGGAGACTTCAAAAAATCATGGAAAATGGAATTAAAAGTTAAAAATAAAAATATAAACTTCTTAACATAAGCCCCATGAAGTTCAAGACACTTTTTAAGCAATGATACCAGCCATTTGGTCTATCCCTAAAGAACTGAGGGTCCTGAGAACTTAATCAAGTTAATGAAGTCTTTTTTACATTATGAACTGAAGAAAAATGAGTGCAGTTTAAAGATTTATTAAGATTATGAAACAAAAAGAAGTCAGAAAGAGCCAAATCAGGACTGTAAGGTGGATGAATGCCTAATGGTTTCCCATCAAAGCTCTCACAAAATTGCCCTTGTTTGATGATAGGAATGCGCAGGAGTGTTGTGGTGGGGAAGGACTCTAGTGAAGCTTTCCCAAGTGTTTTTCCGCTAAAGCTTTGGCTTTCCCAAAACACTTTCTTTTTTTTTTTTTTT